AAAAGACCCATGTCCTTTGTGCATACATGAGAAATTATACATTATTAAGTTTATGAAAGATAAAAAATTACTTTTAATTAAAGAAATGAAATAGCTATTTTTTGTAGATACTGTCAAAGATTTTCCTTAAATAATGATTAAATGGAAAAAAAAGAAGAAAAAAAAGATGAAAAATGAAACATACATATTTATACTTGATATTTAAATAATAATTTTTAAATAAGAAAGTAATTCTAATATATTTGTTTTAAAAAAAACGTATAGTCTATTAGTAATTAGAATTAGGAATAACAATTTAAAATTGTATTTTGAATATTAAAAATATGACATACTCATATTTAAACGACCCTTTTGAAAAAATCTTTGTGTATATGATTATAAATTTAATGGCAAAATAAAAATGCCAAAAAATTTTTGTCATTGAAAAAAACATGACATGCAAAAAACAGATGTCATCATTTTTATGAACAGACACCCATACCCTACCATAACTTAACCTCATTTTGAAAGTAAATCATATTTTGATACACAGGTTGTCTGTGAAAATGCATATCCTACCACCTCTTATCAAAATGATTGAATTTCCCATAACCTTAGCAACTAATATCAAGCAAGAATGTATGTGCTTATAAACTCAGTAAATTTCAAAATAAGTTATTCCAAAATCACTTGAAAATGAAACAGTACTAGGGATTTTAATTTAATTCTATAATTAAATTTAAAGTTTTAGTTTCTGTTTTGAAACATAGTAATTCTTGTGTAGCAATGGGACCATATTTTTAAATTAGTAAACTTATAATTATATATATATATATATATATATATATATATATATATATATATATATATATATATATATATATATATATTTATATATATATATATATAAATGGACATTGTAGTCAACACCCAGAGTTTAGCATGAAACAAACTGTCACCTCTGGATATTGAGTTCAATGTCCACTTTTATATTTATATATAATCAATCCCTGATATTGAGCATTTTAATCCATAAATATAGCATACCTTAAAACTATATTTTATATATATATATATATATATATTTTTTTTTTAACCGTTTCGCCCCAAGCAAGGCGGGAAGCCACTAGGACGCAAGGGGTTACAGAAGATTTGGAGCAAGATCAGATAGAAGTGATAGAAGAAAAGATGAGGAGAAGGGTAGTGGATAGATCAAGGCAACTGGAGATGTCGATTGACATTACATTTGAATAGCTGAAGATTATAGCTCTCAGGGAAACTGGAATAGGTAAGGGAGTTCCACAGGCGAGAGGTGCAAGACATGAAGCTATTGGAGTAGAAGAGATGGCTACATTTAGGAGTTTCGACAGTGAAGGGGTGAGAGTGGGATGCCAGCCTCGTAGGGCGCTTGAACTCATGAAGTCTGGGAACCAGCAAATGCAGCTCCTCGGAGCAATTGCCATGAAAGTATTTGTAAAACAGACAGAGAGAGGCGACGGCGCGTCTGTGAGAAAGTGACTATAGACGAGATTCCAGAGCAGGGCCAATTATATTGCATATCCACCTCTGGAGCCTATCAAGAACCCTGAGGCAAACAGAAGGGGCTCCAGACCATATATGGCAGCAATACTCCATGTAAGGGCGAATTGTTGATTTGTAGATCTGGAGGATCGATTCCAGGGAGAAAAATTTCCTGGCGCCGCACTTGGAGCCAACTTTCCTTGCGGTGGACGTAGCAATTGACTCAATGTATTTGTTCCATCTCAGGTCAGCTGTCAACGTGAGACCGAGCAGCCGCAGAGAGTTGCTCTCGAGAAGTTGAGCATCAAACATTCTAATGGAGGGTAGGGAAGGATCTCTGTGGTGATTAATAGAGAACAGTTTTGTTTTTGAAGCATTAAAGTTGACCAGCCAATTCCTGCCCCAGTTCACAACCGATTGGAGGTCCTTTTCGAGATGCACAGCCAGGTTAGTTTTGTCAGTGACACTAGATTTGTTTTTGAGGCAGGAATAAATTGTGGTGCCATCCGCGTAGATGCCAACTTGGGAATTTATGGCATCAGGAAGGTCATTTATGTAGATAAGGAATAGAGTGGGGCCTAGGATGGAGCCTTGAGGAACACCTGCGTTCGTGGGATAGGAACTGGAGGAGAATCCGTTGAGAATGACCTTCAATTCAGTTTGACAGGAATGATTGTATTAGATCAAACAATCGACCCGTAATGCCATAACCCTGGAGCTTGCGAGGAAGGCTGGCATGCTAAACCCTTTCAAATGCTTTGGAGATGTCTAGGGCCATGGCACAAGCTTCCCCGTTATTTTGAAGAGCTCTGTAGACAGTTTCAGTGATGGCCATAAGCACATCAGCTGTATCCCATCTCCACCACTAGCCTTGTTGGGGTCTAAATTGGAGATAACGCCCAATACCAAAGACGGGGTTATGTGTAACCAAATCAGTTCTAAGAGGGAAGTTGGGTAGGGGTACACCGGAAGAGTCGAGCGTTGAGTTGAATGAAAATTTCCGAGCAAAGCATTCAGCCTTGTTGGCAGAGGAGGTCAGGACTTCGAACTGGTTGAACAAAGGAGGTATAGAGGGTTTGCAATTGTTCAATATGCTCTTGCAGAGACGCCAATAATCTTTGGAGCCAAATTTGCAGAAATGGTCAAGGGACTTATGTCACTTGACTGACTCCATTGTTTCATATAAAACTTCTATGTTCATATAAATTTATTGAATTCTTACAAGATACCATATTTATTTTACAAAAAAATAAATGCTAATGTTGATCTCTTTTTTGATGATGACTGTACTGTTTTTAACAAATTATCTTTTTCAAAAATGTTGTTAAGGGATTTATCAAACATTTTGTTACTGTCATAAATTCAACATTATTTGCCCTCACACACAAATATTTTAAAATACTTCAAACAGATTCCGAGTGCATTATGTACTCAATAAAGTACAACCAATTAAAATGTCTAATGTAGTTTAACATTAAATTTCACATTGTATAGAAGCTCCCACTTGAAAACCTCACTGCAAGATATCTGCTATTTTGGTGAAATTTTGGTGACACTAATTGCCAAAGGAAGCGACTAGAGTGAAATGATCTACTGATAAGAATCTAATATGGAGTTTATGTTTATAATTAAAATTTGTTTAACTGGTTCAGACTAATTAAACTAATTGCAATTATATCGGGGCAAGTTATTTATCTCCTCTTAATTTTAATCACAAACCCCAAATAAGATTCCACTCACTTTTTTGTAGCCCTCCTCAAACAGTCTCCCACAAAACATACTTGCTGCTAATTTACTTTTACCCCTCAAATCAAAGGTTCAATCCTTCGTTTAGCATATGTTGATTGTTTTAAGAGACAACAAACTATTAGATTACCTTGTGAAGATACCAGGGCAGTTTTATTAAAAAGACTGATAAAAGATGTGAGTTCAATCAAGGCTGTTGAGTGTGTAAAGAAATAAGACTGATATACACCTTTGCAGAAATAAATGGCAGTAAAAAAATAAAAAGGAAAGAAAAGGAGTTGACTGAAGTTGGAATCATCAATGAGAATGATCCCCCCCTTCCTTAGCTACAAAGTATGTGCTTCATGAGGGCCACATACAGTTTTGAATTCAGAATTTTCATTCTCCTAGACCTGTTGCCATCCAGGGTATAGAACTCAGCCTGTTTTACTATTTATCCATAGCTGGGGGGAGAGACAAGAGTTGAATTCATACCTTTTTCCCAAGGGTATTAACACAAGTGAATGTAATGAACATGACTGGAATTCGAACTCAGCTCTCTGTTGCAATTCCTCAATCTGAGCCACAATCTATTATGCCACTGTGCCTGAAACTGTGGGAAAATCTTCTGCCTAGTCAGTTATGAATCAAAATAGACATGATCGTCCAAGCATGTATCATGTATGGCACTTAACTAACTGACTGACTGATATCACTTTGCAGGAAAATGAATAAATATGTTGGAAATTCCTTGAATGTTACTAAATGTCATATACACTTCAAGAAGTCAAAAGAATATGCCAGCCATAATGTTGCAATGAAAGCAACAATGATGAAAATTTTATTCCAAAATGATTATTGTATAATAAAAAAACCTTATCTTAGAATTTCTAACAAAACAAATAATTGCATCTATGTTTTTTCTTTGATCAAATCATGAGTTTTACATTTCTCAAAGTTGAAAAAAATGTCTGCTGAATTCTTTTTCACCCCAAAAGATTGTAAAAGTTATAGAGGTGCAGAAATTATGGAATTTGAAAAAGTTTGTTTGTTGGGTGCATTTTAGGTGGGTGCATGTTCACATGTAAACAATTTGGGTTTCTATTACAGTCCCCATTTAATCTCTTTTTTTTATATATAAACACAAGTGAAACAAACTTCTCAGTGTCTCATGGGTATGCCCATTTTCTTTTTCTTAGTCCAGGAGTTAGGGTAAAGTAAGTATAAGCATCTATTAATGATCGAGCTCAAGTCAGACTTGTATAAAATTCGAACAACTAAAGAAAAGGTTGATTTACTTCATAGGTGGAGGTTTTGGAAGACATGTGTGAATCTCATGTGTTGGAAAGTGAAAAGTGTGTTCAGTGGCAATTATGTTTGCACTGTAGAATGAGATGAATCAAATGTCATTTCCACATAATATTACATCTTGGAACTAGGGGAAGAAAGAGACTGAGACAAAAAAATGTTTGACTTTTTTATAGACTTAACTAGTGCCAACTAATGGTATTTGAGGAAGCCAAGTATGGGTAATCATATTAACGGTCCCTTTAGTCTTAGCAGCATGAGAAAATTTTTTTTTTTATTATTATTGATTATTATTATTTTATTGATTTTATTCTATTTTCCCCCAAAATCTTTGGTTTCAAAATGTGTTTTTTATTTCATTTGCAATTTCCTCCAACTGATTGTACTTGCCAATGAGAATTTTCTCAAATATTTAAAACTTCATAAACTTTTTGAAACAGTTAACACCTTTCAGTATTCAGAAATTTATGATTATTTTGCACATCAAGGTCCTTCTTGCTTATTACTTGAGCTCCCCTTCTTCGTTACACAAATATCATCTTACTGACTACTTAAAACTCTTCTTATTCATTACTGCTGTTTCTTCTTACACATCATTCAAAGTCCTTCTTGCTTATTACTTGAGCCCCTTCCTCGTTACCCAAATATCATCTTACTGACTACTTAAAACTCTTCTTATTCATTACTGCTGTTTCTTCTTACACATCATTCAAGGTCCTTTTTGCTTATTACTTGACCTCCCCTTACTCGTTACCCAAATATCATCTTACTGACTACTTAAAACTCTTCTTATTCATTACTGCTGTTTCTTTTTACACATCATTCAAGGTCCTTCTTGCTTATTACTTGAGCTCCCCTTCCTCCTTACCCAAATATCATCTTACTGACTACTTAAAACTCTTCTTATTCATTACTGCTGTTTCTTCTTACACATCATTCAAGGTCCTTTTTGCTTATTACTTGAGCTCCCCTTCCTCGTTACCCAAATATCATCTTACTGACTACTTAAAACTCTTCTTATTCATTACTGCTGTTTCTTCTTACACATCATTCAAAGTCCTTCTTGCTTATTACTTGAGCTCCCCTTACTCGTTACCCAAATATCATCTTACTGACTACTTAAAACTCTTCTTATTCATTACTGCTGTTTCTTCTTACACATCATTCAAGGTCCTTCTTGCTTATTACTTGAGCTCCCCTTCCTCGTTACCCAAATATCATCTTACTGACTACTTAAAACTCTTCTTATTCATTACTGCTGTTTCTTCTTACACATCATTCAAGGTCCTTCTTTGCATTTTTATTACTTTCCCCTTCCTCGTTACCCAAATATCATCTTACTGACTACTTAAAACTCTTCCTTATTCATTACTAAATTTCTTCTTACACATCATTCAAGGTCCTTCTTGATTATTACTTGAGCTCCCCCTTCCTCGTTACCCAAATATCATCTTACTGACTACTTGTTTCTTCTTATTCATTACTGCTGTTTCTTTTTTACACATCATTCAAGGTCCTTCTTGCTTATTACTTGAGCTCCCTTCCTCGTTACCCAAATATCATTTTACTGACTACTTAAAACTCTTCTTATTCATTACTGCTGTTTCTTCTTACAAATCATTCAAGGTCCTTTTTTGCTTATTACTTGAGCTCCCCTTCCTCGTTACCCAAATATCATCTTTACTGACTACTTAAAACTCTTCTTATTCATTACTGCTGTTTCTTTTTACACATCATTTAAGGTCCTTCTTTGCTTATTACTTGAGCTCCCCTTTTACCCAAATATCATGACTACATTTTAAAGCTCCTTATTCATTACTGCTGTTTCTTCACAAAATTAGGTCCTTTTTGCTTATTACTTGACGTTACCCAAATATCATCTTTGACTACTTAAACTCTTCTTATTCATTACTGCTGTTTCTTTTTTACATCATTCAAGGTCCTTCTTGCTTATTACTTGAGCTCCCCTTCCTCGTTACCCAAATATCATCTTACTGACTACTTAAAACTCTTATTATTCATTACTGCTGTTTCTTCTTACAAATCATTCAAGGTCCTTTTTTGCTTATTACTTGAGCTCCCTTCCTCGTTACCCAAATATCATCTTACTGACTACTTAAAACTCTTCTTATTCATTACTGCTGTTTCTTTTTACACATCATTCAAGGTCCTTCTTGCTTATTACTTGAGCTCCCTTCCTCGTTACCCCAAATATCATCTTACTGACTACTTAAAACTCTTCTTATTCATTACTGCTGTTTCTTACAAATCATTCAAGGTCCTTTTGCTTATTACTTGAGCTCCCCTTCCTCGTTACCCAAATATCATCTTACTGACTACTTAAAAACTCTTCTTATTCCTGTTTCTTACACATCATTCAAGGTCCTTCCCTTGAGCTCCCTTCCTCGTTACCCAAATATCATCTTACTGACTACTTTAAAACTCTTCTTATTCATTACTGCTGTTTCTTCTACACATCATTCAAGGTCCTTCTTGCTTATTACTTGAGCTCCCCTTCCTCGTTACCCAAATATCATCTTCACTACTTTCTTCTTATTCATTACTGCTGTTTTTTACACATCATTCCTTCTTGCTTTTTACTTGAGCTCCCTTCCTCGTTACCCAAATATCATCTTACTGACTACTTAAAACTCTTCTTATTCATTACTGCTGTTTCTTCTTACAAATCATTCCTTTTTGCTTATTACTTGAGCCCCCTTCCTCGTTACCCAAATATCATCTTACTGACTACTTAAAACTCTTCTTATTCATTACTGCTGTTTCTTTTTACACATCATTCAAGGTCCTTCTTGCTTATTACTTGAGCTCCCCTTCCTCGTTACCCAAATATCATCTTACTGACTACTTAAAACTCTTATTATTCATTACTGCTGTTTCTTCAAATCATTCAAGGTCCTTTTTGCTTATTACTTGAGCTCCCCTTCTCGTTACCCAAATATCATATTGATACTTAAAACTCTTCTTATTCATTCTGTTTCTTTTACACATCATTCAAGGTCCTTCTTGCTTATTACTTGAGCTCCCCTTCCTCGTTACCCAAATATCATCTTACTGACTACTTAAAACTCTTCTTATTCATTACTGCTGTTTCTTCTTACAAATCATTCAAGGTCCTTTTTGCTTATTACTTGAGCTCCCCTTCCTCGTTACCCAAATATCATCTTACTGACTACTTAAAACTCTTCTTATTCATTACTGCTGTTTCTTCTTACACATCATTCAAGGTCCTTCTTGCTTATTACTTGAGCTCCCCTTCCTCGTTACCCAAATATCATCTTACTGACTACTTAAAACTCTTCTTATTCATTACTGCTGTTTCTTTTTACACATCATTCAAGGTCCTTCTTGCTTATTCTTGAGCTCCCTTTCTCGTTACCCAAATATCATCTTACTGACTACTTAAACTCTTCTTATTCATTACTGCTGTTTCTTTTTACACATCAAGGTCCTTTCTTGCTTATTACTTGATCCCTTCCTCGTTACCCAAATATCATCTTACTGACTACTTAAAACTCTTCTTATTCATTACTGCTGTTTCTTTTTACACATCATTCAAGGTCCTTTTGCTTATTACTTGAGCTCCCCTTCCTCGTTACCCAAATATCATCTTACTGACTACTTTAAAACTCTTCTTATTCATTACTGCTGTTTCTTTTTACATCATTCATCTTAGGTCCTTCTCTGCTTCATTACTGCTGTTTCTTTTACAAATCATTCAAGGTCCCCTTTTCCTTACCCAAATATCATTTTACTGACTACTTAAAACTCTTCTTATTCATTACTGCTGTTTCTTCTTACAAATCATTCAAGGTCCTTTTTGCTTATTACTTGAGCTCCCCTTCCTCGTTACCCAAATATCATCTTACTGACTACTTAAAACTCTTCTTATTCATTGCTGCTGTTTCTTTTACACATCATTCAAGGTCCTTTTCCTTCTTGAGCTCCCCCTTCCTCGTTACCCAAATATCATCTTACTGACTACTTAAAAACTCTTCTTATTCATTACTGCTGTTTCTTTTTACCATTCAAGGTCCTTTTGCTTATTACTTGAGCTCCCCTTCCTCGTTACCCAAATATCATCTTACTGACTGTTTTTTTTTACACATCATTCAAAACTCTTTCTTACCCAAATTCATTACTGACTACTTAAAACTCTTCTTATTCATTCTGCTGTTTTTTTACACATCATTCAAGGTCCTTCTTGCTTATTACTTGAGCTCCCCTTCCTCGTTACCCAAATATCGTTACTGACCAAATATCATCATTTACTGACTATCATTAAAACTCTTCCCTTTATTCATTACTTAAAACTCTTCTTATTCATTACTGTTTCTTTTTACACATCATTCAAGGTCCTTCTTGCTTATTACTTGAGCTCCCCTTCCTCGTTACCCAAATATCATCTTACTGACTACTTAAAACTCTTCTTATTCATTACTGCTGTTTCTTCTTACACATCATTCAAGGTCCTTCTTGCTTATTACTTGAGCTCCCTTCCTCGTTACCCAAATATCATCTTACTGACTACTTAAAACTCTTCTTATTCATTACTGCTGTTTCTTTTTACACATCATTCAAGGTCCTTCTTGCTTATTACTTGAGCCCTTCCCTACCCAAATATCATCGTTGACTTAAAATCTTCTTATCATTACTGACACATCATTTAAGGTCCTTCTTGCTTATTAAACTCCCTTCTTATTCATTAAAACTCTTCTTATTCATTTCTTTTTTACACATCATTCAAGGTCCTTCTTGCTTATTACTTGAGCTCCCCCTTCCTCGTTACCCAAATATCATCTTACTGACTACTTAAAACTCTTCTTATTCATTACTGCTGTTTCTTTTTACACATCATTCAAGGTCCTTCTTATTTGCTCCCCTTCCTCGTTACCCAAATATCATCTTACTGAGCTTAAAACCCTTCCTTATTCATTACTGCAAAGGTCCTTTTTGCTTATTACTTGAGCTCCCTTCTCGTTGACTTACTTAAACTCTTCTTTTATTCATTAAAACTCTACACATCTTATTCATTACTTGAGCTGTTTCTCGTTACCCAAATATCATACTGACTTAAAATCTTATTCATTCTGCTGTTTCTTCTTACACATCATTCAAGGTCCTTCTCGTTACCCAAATATCATCTTACTGACTACTTAAAACTCTTCTTATTCATTACTGCTGTTTCCCCACACATCATTCTTGCTTATTACTTGAGCTCCCCTTCCTCGTTACCCAAATATCATCTTACTGACTACTTAAAATTTATTCATTACTGCTGTTTCTTCTTACACATCATTCAAGGTCCTTCTTGCTTATTACTTGAGCTCCCCTTCCTCGTTACCCAAATATCATCTTACTGACTACTTAAACTCTTCTTATTCATTACTGCTGTTTCTTCTACACATCATTAGGTCCTTCTTGCTTATTTTGAGCTCCCCTTCCTCGTTACCCAAATATCATCTTACTGACTACTTAAAACTCTTCTTATTCATTACTGCTGTTTCTTCTTACACATCATTCAAGGTCCTTCTTGCTTATTACTTGAGCTCCCCTTCCTCGTTACCCAAATATCATCTTACTGACTACTTAAAACTCTTCTTATTCATTACTGGTGTTTCTTCTTACTCATCATTCAAGGTCCTTCTTGCTTATTACTTGAGCTCCCCTTCCTCGTTACCCAAATATCATCTTACTGACTACTTAAAACTCTTCTTATTCATTACTGCTGTTTCTTTTTACACATCATTCAAGGTCCTTCTTGCTTATTACTTGAGCTCCCCTTCCTCGTTACCCAAATATCATCTTACTGACTACTTAAAACTCTTCTTATTCATTACTGCTGTTTCTTTTTACACATCATTCAAGGTCCTTCTTGCTTATTACTTGAGCTCCCCTTCCTCGTTACCCAAATATCATCTTACTGACTACTTAAAACTCTTCTTATTCATTACTGGTGTTTCTTCTTACTCATCATTCAAGGTCCTTCTTGCTTATTACTTGAGCTCCCCTTCCTCGTTACCCAAATATCATCTTACTGACTACTTAAAACTCTTCTTATTCATTACTGCTGTTTCTTTTTACACATTATTCAAGGTCCTTCTTGCTTATTACTTTGAGCTCCCCTTCCTCGTTACCCAAATATCATCTTTGACTACTTGACTTCTTATTCAAAACTCTTCTTTTTCATTACAGGTGCTGCTTATTTTTCCCCTTTTTACCCAAATATCATCTCATTCAAACTCTTCCTTCTTGTTTCTTTTACACATCATTCAAAGTCCTTCTTTCCCCTTCCTCGTTACCCAAATATCATCTTACTGACTACTTAAAAACTCTTCTTATTCATTACTGCTGTTTCTTCTTACACATCATTCAAGGTCCTTCTTGCTTATTACTTGAGCTCCCCTTCCTCGTTACCCAAATATCATCTTACTTGACATTACATTTAAATTTTTGAAGATTATAGTTATCAGGGAAGCAAATAAGAGGAAGGGAGTTCCACTGTCGGGGAGTCCATGATAATAAGCTATTGGAGTAGAAGAGGCAGTTACATTTAACTCTTTCAGCAGTAAAAGGGTGGGACTGAGATGTCAACCTAGTAGCATGTTTAAGTGGATGCAGTTAGGGCACTAGTGAAAATCTGTCTCTTTGTGTCTATGTCCGTGTCTGTGTGTGTGTCTCTCTCTCTTTCTCTCTGCTGTCCAGATTCTCTTATAGCCTATATAAGGGAAATGCACAGACATAGTTGTAGATATCTGTGGCAAGTGAGAGTCATGTGGCCAGCACTCTGGTATATTTGTATTTGTTTTAAAATTTGTTTGGAGTGTGGCATGTGTGTGACTTAGTTAGATGATAATTGGTGTGTATTTAGAGATATATATTTTCTAATAATTGTATAAATTTGGCTTTAATTTGTTATCTTTATGCATAAATTGTGTTTTTCTGCTACAGGTTAAATAGAAAACATTCTCCTAATAAGTATTTTTCTTGTCTTTTAAAGACCATTCTTATATGATTAATCATGATTTCTAATATTCAGCAAAATGACTGTTAATCTGAAAGTGTTCTTTCCTTATATATCCTCTCCACAGTTTTTTAGGTGCCTTGCATTATACTGCTTCATTGTCTTTATCAAAATTGTAAAGTTATCTCCATTCATAATGTATATGCACACATGTACACATACCTGCAAACACATACCTTCACATACACACACACCTGCACATACAGGTACATACACATATGCACATATAATTGTTCTATTATTGCTGAATTAAATTGAATGATCCTTGCAAAAAATTTTCTTTAAACCAACAACAACTGCGAATGACTCAGAATTCATCAAAAATTTATCAATAGAAATGCAAGAAGAAAAAATAAAATATTGGAAAATCCTGCTTGGTTGGATTTCTAATCTTAATTTCTCTATCAAAAAACTTTCTTTCTTAATCTAAGATGCTACTTTAAGAAAACACATATATGTAGATGTTGGTGGCATGAAATGTGATTTACATTGTATTTTCTCATTCCAGTGGTAGTTGTTAATCTTGAGTATCATATTCTGCCCCTCCCCTTACTGCTTGGGCACTTATATTGTCTCTGTGCCTTAGTGATCCTAATTAGGCAATCATTTACATGTCACTACAGCTGGGAGTACCACTTCTTAAAAAAAGTTTACTATTAAAATTAGAATCAAGATTTCTAGAACTGAATTCAAAGATCATACGGAAATATGTAATCTCGTCAGAGATTTGGGTAGATACATTTGCAGTAAGAAGACTGTATATAGTCTACATAAAGTATCCTATTTTTGTTCTTGGCCTTGAATATCATTGCTAATCTTGATTTAAAAATCAAGGGAGCAAACCTTTATAGCAAAGCAGCCATACAGTTAGGGAAGCTATATTGTTCTGATAGCAGCCATTTGCAATTCTCTCAAGAGAGAATGTTGTTTTGTTGAATGTTAACATTTATTGCTACAAGAGAACATCTGCCTAATAACAACAAATTATAAAATCTGGCAATAATGACATAAAACTTCTTAACAAGTAATTAACAGTCTATTAGGTAACCAAATAAACCAGTTCTAATAAAAAACAAAAGCTTGAATACAACTGATCATAACATACATTAAGAGAGAAATAAAAAGAAATAAAAAATATGCTTACTTGATGTTGTGTGCATCAATGTATCTGTTATAGTGTTGCAGAAATAGAAAGTATTATCATTTTATGCCTCCTGGTACAGTTGTCCCACAAAAAATATTGGGCAGACTCATGTGAGTCCAGGTAAAAAAACTACACAAAACATAGACTTCAAACAAGCAACAATCCATAACTGTATTAACTAGACATGTTACAGAAGGATAAAAAAAGAAACAAAGTTGAATTTATGAACAGTTCAATACAATCTTCAGTCAGTATCCCTGAAGTACTTATATGTCTCGTGTCTATCGGAGGAAAAAGAAATGTGTGTTGCTGCTCCATATTTTACACTATTTAAGAAAATCAAGCCAACTACTCAAACATGTGTATCCACTAAATGTAATATTTATAGCAATAAGACATATATATATATATATATATATATATATATATATATATATGTCTTATTACTATTATGTCTTATTAGTATATATATATATATATATATATATGTCTTATTGCTATAAATATTACATTACTGGACTCTTCTGTTATTTTTGATGTATGATGATCAAGCAGCGGAGTTCTTAAAACCAACAGTCAGACTACCTATACATATCATTTAATTATGGAGGTGAAGTCTTGCGCAGAACTAACCAAACTTTTTGGAAGAACCAAGTACAGAGAAAAGGTGCACAGTATGCCACAAGGTCCCCAAACGACCCTCTGCAGGTTTTGAATTTAGAGTTGTCTTTCTCCTACTGTTCCTAACTCAAAGCTATACGACCCAATATGTCCTGCTATTTACACATAGCTTAGGAGGAAAAGAGATGGATTCATACCTTTCTTAAGGGTATTAGCATGTAAGTGAATGTAATAAACTCAATTGGATTTCAAACTCAGCTCTCCAATACACCGTGCCTTGAATATATATATATATATATATATATATATATATATATGAAATATTTGGCCTTTATACATCACAATCAATATGGGTCTGTTGTGTGTGTATATATATATATATATATATATATATATATATATATATATATATATTGTTACGAAGATGCATTTCTATAATAAGGGATTCTACTGAGTTCTACTTGTTATTACAAAAAAGTTTTCATTCATGAAGTAGTTGTAAGATAGAGAAATTAGAAATAGAATGTTTGGAAGATTCTAGATCATTCTAGTATATTTGAGAAAAATCTAGATGATTCGAGAAACATCTAAAAATATGCAAATTAGGTGTTAGCCCCTATAAAAATGGGATTTTGGAAAAGTGTTGTTAGTTGATGAATGGGAATTTTCTTCTGTTATCAACTCCGGCTTTTGATTCAAGGACTATTATATCCAGCCGAAAGAATCTCTATAAAAAGTTGCCGACCAACCAAAACCCAAAATGAGAATTTCATGGAACAAATTTGGTAAATAGAATTTTGACAAATTTTTATTGACCAAACTAAAAATTAATATTTATTTACACACCTTTGTGGATTTCCAAATATAGCACTTAGATTACTTCACTAGCCCTAAAGTGATAAAGATATTTGATTCCCTTTCCTTCTCCCTCGTAACACTTCGCCAGTAACTCTGTGTTTTCTGTTTTGTAGGCCACAATTGTTTATTTTGTATATATTTTATGTTGTGTTTTAGTAAATTAAATATTTGTTTGTGATTTAGCTCTGTGTTGTGGTAAATCATTTTTTTCCTTTCATTTTGTTACGTGTTGATAATTGTATCATTGATTTTATTATCTTGGTGTCAGCTGATGTAGTACCAACCACACTTTTCAAAAGAACTGATAACATAGAAATTGTTTAAAGTGTGTCATCTCTAAACATGTCATGTTTTATTGTTATGGAGTTTATCATTTCCAGAATCATGTCAAAGACAGTACAAGGAAATGACATAAAATGGATTCAGAGATTTTTTTTCTCTTCCTAGAATAACTGCCACTCAAAGCAATAGATTCCAGTCTGCCTTGCTATTTTACCCATATCTGGAGGAAGATGGATTCATTTAATATGAAGTGAACAAAATAGAAATAATCAGAATTTGAACTTGGCTTCTCAATTCCACTTTTTGTGCCAATAACTATGCTACCCACAAACACAGATACAAACACATGGACACATGTAAATAAACACACACACACACACACACACACACACACACACACACATACACATACATAATTATATGTGAATTTCTATTCCTGCACAACAAAATTATTATTTATGATCATTATGGTAACATTTACACACAGACTTATAGCATAGTAATGGGTTTGTCACTTGGTCCCATTTTATCAAATTTCTACATAACTCATATGGAAAACAAAATCTTTAATATTTTTGCCAAACCTATGATATATGGTTGATATATCAATGATATATTCATGCTAATGATATATACATGTGTGTGTGTGTGTGTGTGTTATATAGAAGAAAAATAAAGAAAAGTCTATTTTTGTCGAGCATACTGATCTTATATAATGAACATTTCTTCTTTAACTGACTGTTTCATGTTGTGCATGTTCTTGATTACTTGACAAGTAATATACTAATGTCTCTGGCAGAAGAAGTGCTGCTGATATGCTAATTCAATTAGTTAATTTAATTTTTTATTCAGGTCAACCAGATTGTATCACTGAAAGCACTGGTTGTTGTTTCTGCTGATGGCATCCGGTTAGTTGGACTCAATGAGTGAGAATCCAGATATTGATTGCTTGCCTTGTGACAGAGTAAAAACATTTTATGCCTGAGAAATATTTCTATCAATTCTTTGTCATTGATATAAAGAAATGTGAATGCTTTTCCCCCCTTGTGGTTTGTTTATTTGGAGATGGCCTTTTGGGGGAAGGTGGAAGCCTAAAGTTTTGAGAGTATGAGAAATAGAGGAGAATATAAGAGAGAGAGAGAGAGAGAGAGAGAGAGAGAGAGAGGTTGTCATCTGCAGCTGTGGGAGGCTTCAGCAGATTAATGTCACTATGATGACAGCCAAATACTGTGAGACAGAAGGAGACAAGAAAACAATCAGGATAAGTTTGGGAACAATGAAATACTTTTGGAGTGACAAGAGAGAATATTTCTCAAATTCACACCAGCAATTGCTGATATTTCACTCAGCTGATCACATTAAGACACAAATGAATTTATTGGGATTTTCTATTGTAATTTCTGTTGTATTGTCTTGTAATTGACATTGTAAAACACAACCACACAGGTTTATGAATGCTTATATAAAATTCTGGACAGAGTTTACAGTTTTTAGATTTATTGTTGTAGGCTGATGCTGTTTTCTTTAGTTTCCATATTTTTTATGCAATTTGGCTTTTGTTTTTAATTTCCTATATATATATATTTAGAAAGAATTGTGCTGTCTGCTTATTTACTGTTTGTAAAGGATGTTCTGTATGAGTAGTCTTTCTGTTTCTAGGGTCCATCAGTTACTCCTATGCATATTTTACTTTGTTATTTGCTGATTTTACAGTGGTTTGGTATGATATATTGTTTAACAAGCAAATATCATTTAAAGGATATTCGTTCTTTATTCTGCAGTTATAGGTGGGTTTGGTTTGTAGAGGTGGTGTGTTTTTCTGTTGTGTTTTTTTATTGTCTCATGTTCTCAGTGCAACTGTAGCTGATTTTTACTGTGTTTCTATTGAATATCTTGTGAAGAGTGCTTGACGCGAGGAAGTGTCTGTGTATGAGTTAGATGAATATTTTTTCTGTTTGCTTTTACATTTTTGTTGTATGGTGGGTGAAAGTATGATATTTTTTTCTCCTATTGTTTTTTTTTGTGCTGTGTAAGTGAGTGTTGCTGAAAATCCACTATTTTAGGGCTGTTTCATAATCTTTTTCAACTTTGTTGATTATTTTTCTGTTTTCATTTGTTTTTTGTTTATTACAGGTTCTTAGGGTTATGGGACCATTGTCCATGTAGAGGCCTATATCATTTCTATTGATTATTTTACTTAGTTTATATAGTAAATGCATACAAATAAGCTCATAAGCACCATCAAAGCTTCCCATTGTAGTGGTAAAGGTTCCTCCTTTCTTTATCCATTATCAAATAATAGTGATTTTCAGGAGTGTATAATGATTTTTACCTGTGCTTATTTTTATTTGTTCTTGAGCTAAGGAGATGGCCTTATCTGTCAATAATAAATAATGAGTAAAAAGTTAATACTATAGAGTAGTGACAAATGATCGCATTCAAATCATTGTAACTGGTATTTGAGCCTACTGGACTTGTTCAACTTTCTGGTCATACCAGATTATCTGATCCCTCCCAGATATCAATTATGGTCTGCTCAACATTGTAGCAGTATAAATCACAGCTTGTCTTAGTGGCCATTGATGAAATGCAAAATATCCCTGAACAGGCATCTGCAACAGGGATTAACTAGTCACCCTAGCAAATGGTGCGTATTTGGAAAGCAGTTAGTTATTATCTATCTACCAAGATAGATAAGGTACATGAAAATATACACAGACTTTTATACTCCATAAGTCACTCAGTATTTTTTTCTTTTTCAACTGCAACAAATAATAAATAATGATTAAATTTTGAAAAAGAAAATCCATCTCAATGTGTAACTGAAGTGTGAGAATGTCACTGTAGGAAGGAGAGTTTGAAACAAATCAGCTAATGCATCTTACCATTGCTCTCATAAGAGTTAGGGTGGAATCAAAAATAGTGTTACGTTGGAAACACCGCCCACCTCCACATAAAAAAAAGCAACAGTTCCATATCCAGTCCTCATTCACCAGAACTCATATTAATGGATTTTCTTCTCATTCATGATACCTAAAGGAGGATGATGTGTATTGCAGAAAATTGACAAAAATCTATGAGATAAAAACAGATATTGAAAGAGAATGTATTGAAATCCCAAATGTATTTCTTAATGTGAATTTATGGAATTGCATTGTGGTTAGTGTCTCCACATGGGTTAGGGTTGTCAGTTTGTGATATCTCAAAATGATTATACATCTCTACACTTTATTTTGAATTGTAAATGTTAGTCATATGACATTTTTTGAGATAACCCAACACATATAAAATGTTAATATAATGCTCTTTTATATGATCATTGGCAAATAAAAAAGGAAATCTTTTATACCCTAAAACATAAATCATATATATACATACAGTATTCAAGTGCCCTATGAGGCTGGCATCCCGCTTTCACCCTTTCACTGTTGAAACTATTAAATGTAGCAGTCTCTTCTACTCCAATAGCTTCATATCTCGCACATCTCGCCTGTGGAACTCACTTCCCTATTCCTGTTTCCCTGAGAGCTATAATCTCCAACTATTCAAATGTAATGTCAATCGACATCTCCAGTTGGCTTGATCTATCCACTATCCTTCTCCTCATCCTTTCCTCTATCACTCCTATCTGATCTTGCTCCAAATCTTTTGTAACCCCTTGCGTCCTAGTGGTTTCCCGCCTTGCTTGGGGTGAAACGTTTATATATATATATATATATATATATATATAGTAGGAAAAATATGATATATAATTTCTATATCTTGAAATAAAGTTGAGTAATAGAATCACAAAAGGGAAAACATTTAGTATAATGCATTTCATTGTTTAAAAGTCTGATGAAGTCTATTTAAAGGATGAAACACTTTACATCAAATTTGCTTCCAATCTGACATTCTTTTTGTTGTGGTAGGATCCACCTAATTTGCATAGTGGAGTACCGACCATATAAATATGGTTGGTACCGGGAAGAGAGGGAGGAATCAAGAGATTCAACCAGAGACTCTGCCCGACTGCGACTCAGTCAACACATTCTCCAGGAACGGTCTTACCAGGAATATACAAAAGACTATATGTAAATATTGTGTACACTTTCTTGTTTCAATACATTTTGTTCTAAGTACATTTTGTGCGCATTATTATTCCTTGCATTATTCAAGTTTCAACACTATTACTCAACGTTATTTCAATATATAGAAATTTATGTCCCATTGTCTCATATTATCAACAGGGAAAGACCATCAAATGTGCCTGATGAAATAATTTATGTAAACACCCATATATGCAGAAAGTGAAATTGTTGAACTAAGTACAAGTTTCAGTTCATTCTGTTCTAATCCCTTAGCTTTAATTCCGACAGCAAAGCTTTAAATTCAGCAGCAGCAATAATAAAAGAGAATCTTCACTGAATGCAATCAAACAGTAGCCATCACATCAGATTAGACTTAAAGTTCTAGACTCAGCATTGTCCCACAATGGTTGGTTTGTGAATTTGGTAACATAGAAAATGTGAGTTCAATCCCTGGGCCGGGTAGTGCAGATTTAAACCCAGTGAAGACTAAGTGAGCAATAACTGAACTGTTCTAAATAAGAAAACCTGATATCCTTAGACATGGACAGTGGGGCGAGAAAAATCTATCAACCAATATTAAATGAACAGTTCGGTCTGAAATTTCCTGAAGGTCATCTGGAACGTACATGTAAATAAAATAAATTTTGTTGGCGATTTTAATATCAGGGTAGGCTGAGATTTTATCAATAGAAGGAATATGAGGGAAGCCTCCAAAAAGGAATTAGCATGAAATTTCCAAGAATGGCTGCAAACACGTGTGGGAGTAATCGTTTTCCTTGAATCTCTAACATGAAATTTGCCATCGGAGAAACCCTTCAACATATACTTAGCTTCTCCACATGAAGAAACTGAAGCCACAAAAATATTTCAATCAGCACAAGCAAAATTTAAAATTCTTCAGAATCCCTGTATGATATCTCCTTCTAAAAAGGAATGAACATGTCCTCTACATCTTGACAGTTATTCTGATGTTGCAGCAATTACTGTTCCAAATGTGAATGATATTCTACTCCAAATATCAATCCAGTTACTCTTTAATGTAACAACGAACATAATGATGAAAACAAAAATAATGATTCAGATCCATATTTAAACCTCATATACATATTTTAATGTCTAAAGACCGTTCAACTCATTAGATGAGTCATTAAATGAAATTACAACACAAATATTTATTTGAAGCTTCGTATATACAGGGATTGCAAGATTTGTAGTTCCACTTCATGTTGTGACAGAGGAAATCAATTTGAAACTCAGTTATTTTTAGAACTATAATAAAGTTGTTGATTTTCACAGATTGAGAACAACTGTTTATGACTCACAGTCTGATGTTTTAATAGCAAGAACACAAAGAAGAATTAAAATAATATTTAAAGTATCATGGCACACAACAACCTATACTTCAAGATATACATATTAAAACTAATTAATCAGGATTTTCATATTTTTGTCTTGTAACTGATTCCTCAATATTCATTTCCCAACTGTTGATCAGTTCATTTTATACAATAATCATTTAATTAGTAAGTTTACTAAAAATTTGCCAAAAACTGTGATGGTCACTCATATCATAGCAGCAGAAATAGCCTTGTGTTCACAGGAAATAAAAACATAATTTACAGGAAATAAAACATACACAGAGATAACAGTAAAGGCATGTTAAATTGTATATTAATATCATACAATTTATTTTTATGTGTACTGGTGTGTGTATTTGGTTAGAAGTGTTTCATAGATGCATGTGATAAAAGGGAGAAGTCACTTTGTATTATTACATGTCATATCACAGAGAGTGAAATTGGGACTTGTTAACTGTCCCAAGGTTGATGGTGAATGAATTCAGTGTCTTTTGGCAGGATATACACATTTTCAGAAGGAACAATTTCTATTGCATGCTAAGAGAAATTTTATTATTTTTATTTTTTATTTAATTATTTTAAACAACATTTTAATGTTTTATTTTTTTCGTTTTATTTTATTGCTTAAAAATTGCTTAATTTTTTTTTGTAGACCTTTTCTGTTCTATTAGAAGTTATATTTGGGTTCAAGTGACAGCGATAGGCACATTTCTCATTCCAGTTTGTAGTGTCTTTATCTAATTTTTTTTTTAGCCATTATAGTTGTTTTTCGTCTATGCTGGCCCTCTATTATTCCATT